GTACTAATACTATTTGTTGTATCAGGGTTGAAATTTTTGTACTCAAAATGTGAAACCAGAAGATTGCCATCTCCCTTAAAATAAGTAAACAAATAAATATTTGGTGCTAAAATATTTTTCTAAGTGTTTGGCCGAACTTCTGCTCAAACTTGAGGCATGAGTTCTGATTTTATAAGAAGAGTTTTCAAGGCAGAAATATACTCGAAGGTTTGCCATTGCGTGCCGAAGGACGACTGCTATTTTGGATTATGATCTGACCAGGTATTTATCCATGGTCCTATGGAGTGGAAGTACGCACATGTAATCACTCTGCTACGGCGGCCGCCGTAAGTACATGCTATACATATCGTCGTTTCAAAGTATAAAACCGCGTATCAAGAAAATGCAAAACCGCGTAATTGCATAAATTATTTTCTAGAGAGTAAAGTCACCCATATTTCAAAATGGTTATCTTTTTTATAAAGCAAACGTATTTCTGGCTAGTATATTTCAGGACGAATGAATAAGAATTGAGCCAAGAGATTAGATTATTTATTCTTAAAATGCATGAAAACTATAGTATGCTTGCAAACAATTAATAACATTTTGTGATAAACAGTTTTACAAATGTATTTGCACTTCAAATTTGTAATTTAATAAAGTATTAATTAAATAAATTATTATTGTAAATTATTATTTTAATAAATAGATATAAAGATATTTATACTTGGCAACTCTTGGACTTTTCTTCATTTGTAACAAATGACAGATGTAAACAAAATAAAAAAATAATTGTATTTTTACAAATTTAAAGCAAACGGGCGTTCTTTACAAAAAAATGTAGTTAGGGATCGAATTGCGCATATTTTTTTTACAATATCAAGTGCCCACTAGAAGTGTTAAACCACTAAATAGCTTAAAAAACGCTTTCAAAAATTCGAAACGAGAGTGAAGTGCAGTGTTCAATTGTGATCGAAATTGCAGGCAAAATTTGTGCGTGTGTAATTAATGTTTTACTTATTTGAAGAAATGTTGCCCGTTGTTATTAAAAATAAGCAAACCAAGACCCCCGCCTTCCACTGGTGGTTACATAATACTTGAATAGCTCCTTAATTAACATGTGTTTGTTTTGAGCACGCACGGCCAGTTAAACAGGCATGTCTGAATCGATTTCCTTTATCATTCTTAGCAATTTGATGTGCATTTTTATTGTTATGTGTTGCAAACAGACATTTTAGGAACTAAATAGGTTCTAAAATCTCTGTACACAAGCGCACTTATTTTTAACAGTTTCCAGTTTATGTAATATTAATCAAAACAGCTTTTATTTATTTTATGTATTATGTGATTTCTGGAAGCGTCGAATACAAAAAAGGGCTGTGACTGGGTTTATGTAATTTGAAATTGTATTGATGATTACTAATAATAATAGAAAAGCGCTTACATATCGACACAACTAAAAATTTCATATATTTCAGTAGGGCCAATTAAAGATTTTTTTGTTTCGTAATTTAGCAATATGTCTTGGAACGTAATTATTCCGGATTATATGCAGTCATACTGTAAGCTTTCAAATTATGTATTTTTCTAAACCTGAAATTTGGAATTGTGCCGTTATTGCAGAGGACCATCGACATATGTTAGTGTTTGGCCGAGCTACTCCTGCGATTGTGGCATGCGCCTTGATGTTGTCGCACAAAGGGGAGGGACCTACAGTTTTACGCCGACTCCTGCCGGGGGCCGACCACTATTACAAAAAACATTTTCTTTTTTTTTTGTTGGCCGGAACTGGGCTCGGACGCTCACCCTGCGGAATGGTAGTGCGCACTTCTAAACACTACACCACAGCGATCGCTTAATTAATTTTAATCATTAATCGCGATTAACCATTTATTCGTTAATTTTTAGTCATTCATAGACTAACATTTTGTCGACAATACTCGCATAAGATAGTCCCAAATTTTCACAAAAGAGAAAAGTGATTTTCTTCAAAACTTTTGAATGACGTCTTGACTGAACTTACTAATTCGGAATTTCTACTATTACTTATAGAGTAGGCTATTCAAAAAGTCTGGGTAATGAAATACAAATTTTTCTATTATAAGTTCCATAAATATAAGGAGACTTTTATTGTTTAATTTATTTTTTGCACATAAACTTGTATCTCGAACTTCTTTTTCCAAAAAGTGAGGATGTCAAAATTTCAATGGATATCGGATGTACGGTAATTTTCCAAAGAGATCTCCTAATAGATAAGTTCATGAAAATTATTCCAAACGAAAACTTAAAATTGATAAAAAAATAATAACTAATTTATATTAGAGGTTTGAAGTTTATCCCACTGTAAGTATGAAATCTTCAGCTATGTGTTTCCAATGTCACTTTTTCGTAGCCATATCAACAGCCTGACAATTAAGAAGATTGTGACATTTCATGCTACCATACGCAATATCTTAAATCCTTCAAATTTTATTATTAACCTTTTGTTTGTTAAAAACATTTTCTTCTTATATTCGAAACTTGATCAAGCAAAATTGCATTTGTTTTTGACTAAGAGATGCTCAATAAGCTCAGAATGGTAGTTCTCATTTGCATACATAACAATAAATTATTAATTTTTGTTTCACACCAACTCCAATATTGAATAGTAAAATATATTTTAATCTTACCCAAATAAACAACGATTTAGTTCAATGGTCAATCACATATAGAGTATAGGGTGGTACTGTGTTAAAGTTTTAAAGTTTTTAAACGTAAAATGACGGCTAATACCTTTTTAAGCGTTTTGTAATTTAACCAAAACTCATTAGCATCTACTCAAGCAAGGAATTATTTACTTTTCAACATGCATTAGCAGAGTGCACTTCTCTTTTGTTTACAATTTGGTTGTCAAACACACTAAATCGGATCTTTTGACACATTTACCAGAATGTACTACCAGGTAGCTTCTGACAAAGAGATGACCTTACTTACTCTCTTATTTGTCCTCTCAGTTGCCACAAAACCAAGTACGATTTCCGGTAAAATCTGGAAATTCTGGTAAAAAATGGTAATTTCGGACTCATGCGGGTTCACAACTAAATAATATTGGGAATACTTTTGAGGTGTTTGAAGAGGGTTGCGACCTGTTTGAAACTAAATTCAATTATAGTAATCATATTTGGACCTTGACACTTTTGCTAAGTTTTGGCCGAGTTTCTCCTCCGATTTGTAGCGTGCGCCTTTACTGTTTTTTTTATTAAAGACACTAAGATTTTTAAAATATTTTCACTAAAATTTTATCAACCTAAATGTAAAGCTTATGCCAAGTAGTTATCTAATTTAATGTAAATTTTAAACATTTTCAAGATAAAACATGAATTATATTTAAAACGTAAATGTTAATACAACTGTTTTATATATAATCCCAAACATATGATATAAAATCCCCTCTACCAAAAAACTTAAATTGGGTAACGCCGGTTTGAATTTTTACAATTGAGCAATTGTCAAAAATCTTCCTTTTTATCAAAACGTTATTTACCAGGGTGTCTTTGAACTAATGATTGGTACTGAGTTAAAGAATGCACACACATAAAAGATTGCAGCCTTTTCAATACTCATTCAGTGTTAAACCTTTTTTTGATTGGGCATTGGTTTTTTCAATCTTGCTATGAATATGTTGATGTGTTAATTCATAACTGCTTTGAGAGAATGGAAAATTCAAAAATTTTAAACCTCAATCCTAAGCGAAGAATAAGTAATGAAAACTGGATAAAAAAAAATTGTTGATTTAAAATAGCAAAATGATTTCACACTTACACAGCTCTGATATGTATGTATGTATAATGTTTGAGTTTGTCATTACTGTTCGATATCCGTTTTCTAATTTTAGTTAATATTGTAATAATAATTATTTATGTTTTTTTCTGTTTTTGTAATAATCAGCTTAAATCTTGTATTTATGTGCATAAGTATGTATATATGTATATGATTAAAAAATTAAATAAATGAATTGCGTAAAAAGCAAAATCTTTTTAGCTTATGTAAAATGCTCGTTATGGAGCAATGTGGGAGTAGTCTTCCATTACTCCATGAGGAGGAATTCGGGAGTATAGAGACGTTCTTTTATTACTCGTACAGGAGCCTTCCGGGATGACTCTTATGGGAGTACTCCCTTACTACTCGTTAGGGAGGAATGTGGGATGTTTTCTATGTGCACTCCCTTGTTGTCTTTTTGGGAGGTTTCTGGGAGGTAACTAAGGGAGTACTCCCGTATTGCTCCATTAGGAGGTTTGTGGGATGATAATTCTGTGTGTGCTCCCCGATTGCTTGTTTAGGAGGTAAAAGGGATTACTCCCCCTCCTAGGACATCCAATGTTAAAGGGAGTATACAAAATTACATGCTTATACACAGAAGCATAGGGAGCAATGGGGAGTATTCGTATACTCCCAAGGGAGTACTCACCGAGCAATCGTACGATGCTCCCAAGTTCTACTGGGTAGTTTCACATACGTACATACATAATTTTTTCCACTCCAAGCTTGAGTACTTTACCCAAACATTTGAAGAGATATGCAACATGAAACTTTTAATCAGTATGGGAGGTGCTACGCCTCTTTTCCAAAAACGTCCATTTTTCTTGTGAGTATGAATATGATTTAACACAGTGTTGGCAAAATGTTAATCTGACTAACGATTAAAATGTTAATCGCGTTTGACGATTAAAATTAATTATTCGTAATCAACTGTACGATTAAGGATTAAATTCTTTTAGTCGTTAATCGGTGTCTGCGATTATGATTAATTAATTTTAATCATTAATCGTCAATCCAATTATCAGGAATAAAACAAGAGTTTTAGAGCTTCGTGTATTAACGCTTTAATAACTTCACTTGTTCGCAGCATACAAAGGACTAACTGAAGGAACGAAATGTAATCAAGAACAATGATAAAGTGCAATGTTAATAAAGAACAATTCATGGTTGCATAAAATAGTATGAGTACAATAGTCTTGAAAAATGTATGTTGGTAGTTGAAACTACTTTGCTGCGCCAACACCTCCCCTCGAAGTAGTGAGACTACTTGCCATGCCTAACGCTGCAGAGCATTTACAATGCTTAACGCTGCTTAAACTTTTTGTGAAGACATCCGCTGGCATATCTTCAGTCGGCATATACGTAAGCGCGATCTTTCCGCTTTGGTAGCACTCTTTAACGAAATGATGGCGCACGTTGATGTGCTTCGTGCGCGAGCTGTAGCCTAAGCACTGAATGAGTTTTTGTGCGCTTTGGCTATCATTGAATATTGTAAAATTTGGACAGCATATACCCAAGTCTTTTAAAATACCTTGGAGATACATTGCTTCTTTCGTCGCTTCTGTCATAGCCATGTACTCGGCTTCGGTGCTGGAAAGTGCGACGGTGCGCTGTTTGCGCGCCTCCCAGCTTACTGCTGCACCTGCCAGTATGAACGCGTATCCGCTGTACGATCGCCTATCGATCAAGTTCGCACCCCAGTCTGCATCGACCACGCCGTAGAGTGCTTTGTTGTTTTGTGTGTAAAGAAGACCATAGTTTCTGGTGCCGTTTAAATACCGTAAAATTCGCTTTGCAGCTTTCCAATGCTGCCCATTGTAGTTTGTATTAAACTGGCTCATGTAATTTACCGCAAAAGCTATGTCTGGTCGAGTGGTAACTGCTAAGTACATGAGGGCACCTATTAGCCTTTGGTAGGGGTACCTGGCCATGACTTCTTCATCGAATTCGGTTGATTTTTCAATTTTAAAATTTGTCTCCAGGGGTGTTTTTGCTGGTTTGCATTCGGTCATTTTGAAACGTTCCAGTATAGTTTGAATATAACCCTTCTGCATCAAAAAAAACTTTGTGAGAACCCAAGTTTTGCTGGAAGTCAACGCCTACGCAACGCTTTACTGGACCAATATCTTTCATCTCGAAAGATTCGCTTAACGCTTTTTTCACGCTTTTTGTCCACGTCCTGTCGTTTAACGCTAGTAATAAGTCATCTACATATATTGTGACTAGTAATATCTGTTTACCTTTTTGTTTGGTGAAAAGGCATGGATCTTGTGTCGAAGCCTTCAAACCAAGCTGCTTTAATTTAGTTGTTAAGCGGTTGTACCACATAAGGCCCGACGATGTCCCAGGTTAGGTTTGAAATTAATGCCAAATACTCGTCTTCAATAGCCTTTTTCCATTCTTCTGCATCACTGCTAGCACTTGCCTCGGACCAACTTGATGGGGTTTCTTCTGCGGTAACACACGCCACTTCATTTGTTTCTAACTCATAGTCTTCATATTCGGTGTCACAATTACTTTCTACAGTCTTAACATTTTTATCTGAATGGTAAATCTTTTTCGGTCTTCCTCGCAAACCCGCCTTTAACTTTTTCGGACGACCTTTACCGCGTTTGGTGTTGGTTTCACCAATTTCACTGTCGCATGTTTCACCTTCGCTCGTTAAATTGTCACTTTCTTGTGGGGATATCGGTATTTTATTCGGGTTTGTTTCGATTTCGATTTTATCACTTTCTAGTTCAAATAAATCTTCGTATTCGTTTTTAAATCCGGGTTCATCTATAAACTTCACGTCACGACTAATTATTATATCTCTTTTGTCTTTAGACCATAAACGATAAGCTTTAGATTCGGATGAATATCCGACAAACACAGATTGTTCCGATCGAGACTCGAATTTGCCTTTCGATTGTTTGTTCAACACATAGGCTTTTGAGCCAAACACTCTCATGTGAATCACGGTTGGAGTTTTGCCTGTCCCCGTTTTGTGGGGGACTTCTCCCGTAGATTTTGTAACATACCGATTTCGGATATAGCACGAAGTATTTATTGCTTCAGCCCAGAACGAAGGAGGAACACCAGCTTGCTTCATTAGGCACCTAGCCATCTCTACAAGTGTCCTATTTTTTCGCTCAGCTATTCCGGTTTGCTGTGGAGTGTACGGTGTCGTTAAACGTCGTTTTATGCCGTGTTCTTGTAGATATAAGTCGAACTCTCGATTGAAATACTCGCGCCCGTTATCTGTTTGCAAAGATTTTATCTTTTTGCATGTGAATGTCTCTGCCGCGTTTTTAAACTTTTTGAAAGCTTCTAACACATCTGACTTTTGTTTAATAAAGTAAATTTCGCACCAACGTGATTTATCGTCAATAAACGTTACGAAATATCTTTTACCACCGTTTGAGGTGCACCGCATCGGACCACAAACGTCGCTATAGACTATTTCTAGTAAATCTTCGGTACGATTGCCGGTATTTTTAGGAAAAAACCGCACGTGTTAGCTTTTCACTTGCACACACTTCACAAGACGATAATTTATCTTTTAAGTTTATTTTCAGTCCATGCACATCACCGTTTTTTTGACATTTCCTTTAAATCACGTTCGTTCAGATGGCCCATTCGGCAGTGCCACAGATTTATTTCACTTTTGGCTTGCGACACAAATGCACTGTTTTTATGGTATTTCATAAAGTACAAATTACCACTACGTTCTGCAGTAAACAACACTTCTTCATTTTTGTCAATCACAATTGCATAATTTTTGCGAAAATGCACCTCATACCCCCTGTCAGTTATCTTCGATACAGACAACAAATTTGTGCGTAAATCTGATACATAGAGCACATCTCTTAATGTTATATTCTTTTCATAACCTTTTTCATTCACCTTTACTTCTATGTCACCTTTGCCAGTAATTTTTGCCGAATTCTTGTTAGCTAAATTTAACACTTGATTTACTTCAACCATCTCAGAGAAATTATTTTTATCAGCGCTCATGTGGGAAGTGCACCCACTGTCCAAACACCAGTTGTCATTTGCATTCGGACACAAAAAAACAGATTCTGTTGCTCTTAAGGAGGAATTTTGCTCTTCGCTTTTGTTAGCTCTTTGACTACTTTGGGTTTTTGAACGACACTCTCTTGCATAGTGGCCACTTTTACCACACTTGTAACAACAAAAATTTCGTTTCGTTTCTGCGCGTTTTCTGCCGCTATAACGTTCGTTGCTGCTTCTATTTTTGCTGTATTATATTTGTCTTTTGCGTGTTTTTCACATACAAAGCATCGCTCTCACTTCGATAATTTTTAGCTTTTCGCGTTTCCCTCTCTTCTAATATTTTTACACGCAGCACTTCGGGCTTTGGCAAATCATCGCGAGTTTCAAGCGCACAACGGAATGTTTCATATGAGTCTGGTAAACTGTACAGTAGCAAAATTGCAAGCAATTCGTCACCGATCTCAACACCAATTTCCTTGAGTTTCGCGACTGCATCAAAAAAGTCATTTAGATGGTTTCGAACCAAATCACCCTCTTTCGACTCGTATGTCGCTTGCAATTTTTGCCACATTTTCTGCGAACTTGTGCACTCAGTAATAAAATTTAATTCTGTCGGACTAATTGCTAGCATGATGTCGGCACATGCCTTTTCGTCATTTCGTCCCGTTTCTGCCTTAACCTCGTATCTGCAATAGAGGTATTTTAGAGAGTGTTAGAAAAAATGCATAATTTCTTCCCGTAGGATACAATAAACGCATTTGTTACTTAATATTTACTAACAGTAGTGAACACCCTCATTAAGTCTTTGTTCTATTTTCAAATAGTGTGAAGTTTAAACAGCTGTTATAAGTGGTAATATTAGTTTTCCCAAAAATTGTAGATACGTGGTTAAGGCAGAAACGGGACGATTTGTTTTCCACAAAACTGCGGCTGCTGCATCTGCCGGACATTCTTTATTCCCGTTCACATATGCCCATAAATAATTTTTGATTAAAACCGCACGCATATGTAGCTTCCATGTGACGTAATTCTCCGCATTGAGAGGCTCGATGCGAACGACTCCCGCCATTTTTGCAATATTCGCGGAATTTCTTTTCGAAATTTATACTCCGCGTGTTTCCGGAAAACTTTTCGTTTTATTCTTTATTTCACGCCGCGGGAAATTTACGTTACCTTTTGTTTAAAATATAAAGCACTTCGCGATGGGTCTGGGCCCATATCCTATCAGGAATAAAACAAGAGTTTTAGAGCTTCGTGTATTAACGCTTTAATAACTTCACTTGTTCGCAGCATACAAAGGACTAACTGAAGGAACGAAATGTAATCAAGAACAATGATAAAGTGGAATGTTAATAAAGAACAATTCATGGTTGCATAAAATAGTATGAGTACAATAGTCTTGAAAAATGTATGTTGGTAGTCGAAACTACTTTGCTGCGCCAACACCAATTAAAAATAAAATCTCATTAAGTTGTCTAGTTTGTCCGAATTTGAAACCAAACACCAGTTATAGTAATTATTTTGTATTTTACGCTTATAAAAAGCACATAATATAAAAAACA